CAATCCCAAAGAAAGAACTTGGAAGACTCAACAGAGAGGTTTTGAACATTTTATTACTCACATGCTCCTTTATAGTAGCAGGACAGGATACAATCAAAGCGCACTGCACCTACAATTCATAGGATAGGGTTGCATGCCCACTGTGCAGACGGAGTTCTTCCAATGTTTTATGAGTATCTTTTACTACACCCACAAGTCACTCTGCTTTTATCTTCACCTTAGTGAATATAAGGGAAGAGGCCTGCTTCTCCTCTCCATTTCCTTCATGACCCTATTATTTAGGGTCCTTATCTGATTGCAAGCTGTACAAGGCACCAATTAGTGTTTAATTGGACACCCACATTGTCTTTCAAAATTTTCAAGATGTCCATTAAATCTGAAATCAAGACCAATTTCTCTTTTCTTTATAAAAAGTGGTGGGTTTTTTTGTTGTTGTTGTTGTTGTTTGTTTGTTTGTTTTACTTTCTGTACATTATGAAAAGTTTTAAGATCTGACATTTGTCCACTGATATGAACCCTTGCAAAGTTGCACCTCACATGTGTGATATTCATACATTAAGAGGATAATTAAGTCCATTTTGGAGTGTATGGCCTTATGTTCTGGAAAAAAAATGTTGTTGTTGTTTTTTCCATAATAGGGATTGAAGATAAGGATACTCTACAACTCTATAATAGCAATTGTTGCTATTCTGGACAGAGTTGGGCATGAAACCCAGGAATTTTTTGTTCTAGCCAAGCACTCTTCTACGTCATACATCTTCACCTCTTTGGTCCATTTTTTACTTAGCCTATTTCAAAAGTTAATTAAGTGATTTAATTAACTCCTTATTGTTGCATTTTGAAATGTTCATTTTATATTGTGAACACAAGCCCTCTATCAAATCTGTTTTGCAAATACTACCTATAATTCCAAGATATGCTTTTCCTTTTTCAACAATGATTGAAAGTTGACAAAATAAGTTACATAAAAAAAAAAATAAAAAAAAAAAATAAGTTACATAAGAGCTTCTTTCTCTGATATTTTGGGTCTACATTATTGAGACCTAACCACCTAGTAGACACAACCAAAACTACTGAATAAAATATATTACAATGCTCTGTTTTATGATCTGGTTTGTGAATACATAGGTTTCATAATATGCAGTAAGTTTCTAGGGTATGTTTCATAACCTTGTAAATTTTTAAGGATTATGTTGTAGATGGCAAAAAACCCTAGTATATTCATTATATACTATGCTAATATAATTGCTCAAAATTTAAAATATCTCCAGTTGGAGACAAATTGTTTTTCCTATTTCTTAGAAAATATTCCAAAGACATTTTAATAATTGCTAAGGAAAACACAAACTTTTTTCTGGAACATAATTAGTTATATCATGTTTTGTGTTTGAAACAGATATTTATAATTCTTAACAAATTTTTAAGACTATATCTCTAATCTCTTCAATAATCACTATCAATAAAAAATGATGAAAGGAAATATGATAGAGATTGTTTTAATAGATAAATAAAATTGTATATATCCATGAGATACAATGTAATGTTATGATTACATTTACATTGTGGGGTGTTAAAATCATACAAATTAACCCTTTCCATAGTTATTCTTATTTGTGGTGAGAACATTTAAAATCTATCTTTCATATTTGTGGTGAGAACATTTAAAATCTATCTTTCAGTAATTTTGAAATATTACTACATGGTTACTGACTATAGTCACCATTCCTGCAAGAGACTAAAATCTATTCCTCCAAACTGAACCTTTGTCCCTTTGGGCACAACCTTCCCTTTCTTCTTCTACCCACCTCCTCACCCTCTCTTCAGCATTATCCTACTCTCTGTTCTATGAGGTCAATCAGCACAGAAAGACAGGCTCTGCATGATCTCACTCATTTATTCATGACATCTAAAATGTGAGCAGGTTTAAATCATTTTAAACATCATTTAAAACTCCATAATTGAATTACATTTAGATAATGTAAGAGCTCTTCTCTCTCATTGACACATTTAACTTTGAATAAACTCTGAATTAGTTTCACTTTTCATTTTAAGTATTTGAAAATAACGAAGGATCCCTAATTTACAGAAGGCTTATTACTAATTTGGATTAATCACACTTCAACTGTTGCACATACACTTAAACACTGTCACTATAAATGGGCAGAAGAATCTGCCCTAGGGAGACAGAAGTGGGGACTTTCATCTGAAGAAGCCATTGTCAAGGTTACCCACCTGGCCACCCACCACCATGTAGGACAGCACCTGAGACTCAGCCCTGTGCTCCTTGGGCACCCAAAACACAAACTCCACCAGCAGCCCAAAGGCCTCTTGTCCACACATGCTGTGTACCTCTGCCTGTGACTGCTGCAGCCCCTGTCCAAATGGTGGGGATCTGCTTTGGTTGGGCCATTATACTGGAGCAGGAAACATATTTTATTTCATTGTTCTTGTTCCTTCCAGTCATGGTGGGAATCTCTTTACTCTTGACCTCCCAGGAACCTGTTTCTGGTTTAAAATCTGCCAGAGCAACCAGACTGAAAGCCCATCTATACCAGGTCCAATCTGACTTACCATTCTGTCTGCCTTGCAGTCATTAGAAATTTATATTCCAGACTTTATTCATGAAAGAGAAGAAATGAGAACTACTTGGAGAAGTACTGATATTTTAATAATACACACACAACACTCCCAAACATTCAATAATTGCCAGATAAATTTATATGTTCCAATGTTAGTTTCAATCTAATTGCCATAATTTTAAAAATTCTAGAAGCAATTTTAATTATAAATATTCTTATGTGTGGTTTTTCTCTTTTTATTTTTGTTTGTTCTTTTAGTTTCCATGACAGTAGAATCTATTTTGATATATTTATACAAACATGGAATATATTTTATTCTAATAAGGATCCCAGTCTTATGGATATACACAATATTGAGATTCACTGTGGTATATTCATATATGTACATAGGAAAGTTGTATCACAGTCACTAGGTGTAGTTTTGATTACAATGTTAAATCAGTTAGATATGCAAGGTCAGTACAAGCAATACAATCTTTAAAATAAGCCTATTGATTTCACAAAACTGAACCATGCTATTAGGTGATCCATTCTCCACCAGGATGTGCTGATGATGACAATGTAGTACTTAGAATGCCAGTAAGAGTCATGAGTTATGCCTGGGACTCACATTTTCCTTTTTGATTAAGGACCTAGGATTTATAAACATGGATGTTTTATAACCTCATTCTCTTTCTTTAATAAGTATTATTTTTCTTTTCAAATTTGTACTTCAGAGAAAGTTTCAAACTGTTCTAAGAACTCTGCCCAAACAATGCTATAATTAATATAAACTCATGAATAGAAGTAGACACCAAACATTGAAACAATACTTGAGAAATTAAATTTTATACACATTAAAATGGTAAGAAAAATTATAGTAAATGTAAAGTTTTCACTCTCTGCTCAACTGGAACTTATTTTAACCAAGGTGAATTGAAGTTCTTGCTGGCACTATTTCCCTCTAAAAATATTCATATAAACAAATGCTGAGAACATTTCAAAAATTGTTATCTTCGTATAAATATGAAAATTACACTGATAATGGGTTGCTGTCCCTTTACTAAGACATAACTACTGAGAGCATCTGTCCTAAACCCAATGTAGGTACTGATGAACCACAGGCAACATACACTATAAGAGCATTTTGTAGAGCAGTTTCCTACTCTTATTATTTATTTGAATAATTCATTTTGTCTCCAATAAAATAACATCATATGTATTAGACATCATAAGTTAAACAACATATCCTACTAAGGGAAAAATTACATACCTGACTAGAAAGACTACCAAAACTGCTCAGTCTCACCATCTTGAAAAATAAATAAAATGGAATGCTGTTTTGTAGCTTGCCCTATTTATCCCACTTTTCTGTAGCAGATGTGGATTTTTCTAATTGGGCATCAAAGCCTTGCAGATGATCCCTGTGCTTTTGGCATCTTGGCTCACAGCACTGTACCCATATAATCCCTACTTTTAGGCTTAGTCTAAACAACTCTCCAGAAGTTCTCTCTGTTCCTCTACAATTCTTCTTTCTTTCCTTCCATTTCTTTATAGGATGCACAATGGAGTCAAAAAACTGTGCTCTGTATCATCTACTTTGCAGCCTTAACCATCTCCCATGACTATTTCCTCATCTGGAGAACAGAGAAAGATTTACATTTAAAAGGATAAACATAAAAACCCAAATATACCTTGAGGTTATCTGTTTATATTTTGTTTTGGTACTGAGTATCAAACCCAGGGTCACGTACAAGTGAACACTTAACCACTGCACTAATGCTCAGATTTAGCTTGCATTTTAAAAGTATGTAGACCTGATTTTGCAAAAGTAAATCCATTCTCAAGTATCCATAAGACTAAGTCATGGTCCAATAAAGTTCACAGTACTATTACAGGTGTGGGGCTAAAATTCTAGAACAAAAGTCATTTATTCTTTACAAGATTGAATAATTCTGGAAATTTTTACTTTACCACACCACAATTTTTATCTTCACTCTCTGTCTTTCAATACAGGAATAGGAAATTAAAAAAAACCTTAAAATAGGACATGGATCAACAAAATTATGTCAGAAATTTAATAAAACTAACTTGCTAAGCATCCAAACCCTTAGGTTTTCTTGATGGAGAAGACATATAAGAAAAAATAACAGATAGTGTTACTTATAGATAAGAAACACATTAGCCCAGTATCTCCATCTGGTGGATGGAGCCATATTTAGATGAAGGATGGGTCTCAAATCCAAGAATAAGTTCTACCGGTTACACTGCATTATTTCATTAGAAATATTCAGATATTTCATTAGAAATTCTACCCAGGCTGTAGGATAAAAGATGAAGAAAAGGGAAGAACAACAGAAGGAAGGTAATCAGGAATAACCAGAAGTAGAAACAAAGATCCAGCAATGGATACTGGAACCAAAGCATTCCCCGAGGCTCAGCTCAGCTAGTTATCCTCTTCAGGGTTCTCTTCAAAGCAAGTTTGACATCCTTGTTCCTGAGACTGTAAATGAGGGGATTCAACATGGGCACCACAAGAGTGTAAAACACAGAGAAAAATTTCCCTTGGCCCATAGACCCAGAAGATGATGGCTTAATATGAGTGAGCAGCCCAGATCCGTAAAAGAAGCCAACAGTTACTATGTGAGAACCACAGGTGCTCATGGCCTTGGACCAACCCTTACCTGAGGACATATGAATGATATTATAAAGGATCAAACCATAAGAAATTAAGATAATGAGGCTGGATACAATGACAACAGTTGCCACAACAACAGAACTTACAAGCTCATTGGAGTATGTATCACTGCAGGAGAGATGAAGAAGGGGGAAGATATCACACATGTAATGATTGATGATGTTGGAATCACAAAACCTGAGCCTCATCATGCACCCTGTGTGCACCATGGCACCAGCAAACCCCATCAAGTAAGAACCCAACATCAGCAGAGAACAGACCCTAGGGGACATGACCACCCTGTACAGCAGAGGCTGACAGATGGCCACATAGCGATCATAGGCCATGGCTGTCAGCACATAGCACTCTGAGTGGACAAAAAAGCAGAAGAAAAATAGCTGAGTCATGCATCCTATAAAGGAGATGATGTTCCTCTCCAAAACAAAGCCCATCAACATTTTGGGGGTGAAGACAAATGAATAACAGAAATCAATGAAGGACAAATTGAAAAGGAAAAAGTACATGGGGGTGTGAAGGTGTGAATTCAGGAAAATTAGATTAATTAAGCTCATGTTTCCCACCACAGTGACAACATAGTTCACCAAGAACAGGAAGAACAGGGGCAGCTGCAGCTCAGGTTGGTCTGTTAATCCCATAAGGATGAACTCTGTAACGGAGGAGTCATTTTCCATAGCCATTGCTTCTGGAGTAGGATCCATAGAGGCAAGAGTAGAAGATGCTGTTAACAATGAATTTCAAATCCTTGACCCCAGAAGTAGAGCAGGAGCTGCTGGTTTCCATGTTCAAGGTTGTCTGAAGTCACACAGCAAGACCTCCAAAGAGCAAGACTTCCTATGTTGATCCTTGAGAAGTTTCCATTTCCCTCCTGGTTCTCCCACCCCTGATGTTTCTCTGTCCAAGAATAATGCTGGCTGATCTCCCAGCATCTTCTCTCCTCAGTCTACTCTAAGAATTAGGAATGAAAAGAGATAAAAGTAAGTGGTGTTCCAGAATCTGTGACTTATATAGATTTAGACTTGCAGGTAAATTGTCAACACAAGTATGATTCAGTGCTCAATTAGTTCCCCTGGATGCCTCACTATCATAAACCTTAAGGCCCCTCATCACCACCATCCTCAGGGGAGACAAAATTTCTGGGGCTGAGGAGGTAATTATCAATCAGCTCAGATCTGACCATGACATGCAAGAATAAGTCCTCAGGGAAAATGACATAATTTGTATCTAAGAATATCTCCAGAAGTTTCTCTCACTTGCAAAAAAAAAAGTAAAACAACAGCTCTGTAATGGGACTTCAAATTGTCACCTCACTCAGATGAAAACCTATTACATGCTCCATAGTTCTGGGAATATTGATTAGTAGCACTTAAAATTATGTTGTCCTTCATGATTTCCCTCCAAGGAAATTACTGAGCCAGTATTTACATCTTGTACAGCAAACCTTACTCTGGATCTTTTGAGACTCAAATTCTACTCAATTTATAATTTTCCACCAGGAATTCCTGATCCCCAGTGGAGATTAGTGTGTGTCTCCCATCATCAATCTCATGATGCCCTGCAGAGCTACAAAAAGAAAAGTCTAAGGAAGAGTCACTAACCACTTCTAGTATGCTCCTACAAGTCTTTGGGATTGCATTATAAGACATTACATCTGATGTTTAAGTCCTTTGGGTATATACTGAGGAATAGGATAAATGGATCAATAGATGGTTCCATTCCAAGTTTTCTGAGACATCTTTATACTGCTTTCCATATGGTTGTAGCAATTTGCTGTCCCACCAAAAATGTATAAGTGTACCTTTTTCCCCACATGCTCACCAACACTTGTTACTTGTATTCTCAATAATTACCATTCTACCTCAAGTAGAAAGGAATCTCAGTGCAGTTTTATTTTTGTTTTGCTCTTTTTAATTTGTTCTAATTAGTTATGCATTACAGTAGAATGTACTTTGATACATTATTATACTTCATGATAAATGAAGTATAACTTCTTATTCTTCTGGTTGTACATGATGTGGAATTACACAAGTCATGTGGTTTTATACATGCAGATAGGGTAATAATGTCTGATTCATTTTACTATCTTTTTTACCTCCATACTCCCTCCCCTCCCTTCAATCAGCTATGCCTAATCCAAACTACCTTTTTTCTTCCCTAGCCACACCCTCTCCCCTTATTGTGAATTAGCATCTACATATCAGAGAAAACGTTTAAGCTTTGGTTTTTTTCTTGGAGGAATTGGCTTATTTTGCTTATCATGATATTTTCCAGCTCCATCCATTTACCAACAAATACCATAATTTCATTCTTCATTAAGGCTGAGTAATATTACATTATGTACATATACCACATTTGTTTTTATTTGGCTGATGAAGGGAATCAAAGTTAGTTCCATAGTTTGGCTATTGTGAATTGAGGTGCTATAAACATTGATGTGGCTGCATCACGGTAGTATGCTGGTTTTAAGTCCTTTGGGTATGAGCTAAGGAGTGGGGTAGCTGGGTCAAATTGTTGTTTCATTCTGGGTTTTCTGATGAATCTCCATACTGCTTTTCAGAGTGGTTGCACCAATTTGCAGTCCCATCAGTAATGTGTGAGTGTACTTTTTCCCCCATATCCTCGCCAACACTTATTTTCACTAGTATTTTTGGTAATTGCCATTCTGATTTGAATGGGATGAAATCTTACAGTAGTTTTCATTTGCATTTCTCTAATTGCTAGAGATGATGAACATTTTTTCATATATTTGTTGATTGATTGTATTTTTTCTTCTGTGAACTATCTATTCAGTTCCTTAGCCCATTTATTTATTGGGTTTTTTGGGGGTTTTTTTGGTTTTGGTTTTGTTTTGATTTTTGTTTTTTTGCTTTTTTGTTGTTGTTGTTGTTTCATTTTTGTTTGTTTGTTTTTGGTGCTAAATTTTTGAGTTCTTTACAAATCCTGGAGATTAATGCTCTGTCTTAGGTGCAAGTGGCAAACATTTTCTCCCATTTTATAGGCTCTCCCTTCAAGTTCTTAATTGTTTTCTTTGCTGTGAAGCAGCTTTTTAGTTTGATACCATCCCATTTACTGATTCTTGATTTTACTTTGTGTACTTAAGGAGTGTTGTTGAGGAAGTCAATTCCTAAGCCAACGAAATAGAGTTGGGTCTACATTTTTTTCCTATGAAGTATAGGGTCTTTGTTCTAATGCCTCCAGGTCCTTGATCCACTTTGAGTTGAGTTTTCTGAAGGATGAAAGATAAAAGTTCAATTTAATTCCACTACATAAGAATTTCCAGTTTTCCCAGCACCATTTGTTGAATAGGCTATCTTATGGCTTACATTCTACCATTAATAATGGAATGAAATTAGAAATCAAATAAAAAAATAGAAGGTCTCTAACACTTGGATACTAAATAATATGCTATTGAATGGCCACTAGATAGTAGAAGAAATTAGGGATAAAACAAAAAATACTTAGAGGTAAATGAGAATAGTGACACAACTTAAAAATCTCTGGGACACTAAAAGGAAATTCTAAGGGGAAAAGTTATTGCATTGAGTGAATTCTTTAAAAGAATAGAAAGTCACCAAATAAATAACTTAACATTACATCTGAAAGCCCTAGTAAAACAAGAACAAATCAACACAAAAAGCAGCAGAAGACAGAAAGTAATTAAAATCAGAGTTGAAAATAATTAAATTAAAACAAAAAAGTTCAGAAAATCAACAAAGCATAAAGTTGGTTATTTGAAAAATAAATAAAATTGATAAGCCCTTAGTCAAACCACCAAAAGAGAAAGAGAGAAAATTCAAATTAATAAAATTTGTGATTAAAAAGGAAATATCACAACAGACACTACTAAAATATAGACAATAACCATAAACTATTTTGAAGATTTCTACTTCAATTAAATAGAAAATCCTGAAGACATCAACAAATTTCTAGAGACATATAACCTACCCAAATTAAATCAAGAAGAAAAAGAAAATTTAAGCAGATCGATTTAAAGCAATGAATTTGAAGACATCATTAAAGAGAAGCCCCGAACCAGAGAGACTCTCAACCAAGTCCTACCAGAGCTTCCAAAAAACACTAACACCAATACTCCTCAAACTATTCCATGATATATAAAAGGAAGGAACCCTTCCAAACTCATTCTATGAAATGAGTATCATCCTGATAGCAAAACTAAAGACATATAGGGGAAAAAAACTTCAAAACAATATTTCTGATGAACATAGACACAAAATTTCTTAATAAAATCCTGGCAAATTGCATATATTTTATTTATTTATTTTTTTATTGGTTGTTCAAAACATTACAAAGCTCTTGACATATCATATTTCATACATTAGATTCAAGTTGGTTATGAACTCCCAATTTTACCCCAAATACAGATTGCAGAATCACATTGGTTACACATCCACATTTTTACACAATGCCCTATTAGCAACTGTTGTATTCTGTTACCTTTCCTATCCTCTACTATCTCCCCTCCCCTCCCCTCCCATCTTCTCTCTCTAACCCATCTACTGTAATTCATTTCTCTCCTTGTTTATTTTCCCATTCCCCTCACAACCTCTTATATGTAATTTTGTATAACCATGCGGGTCTCCCTCCATTACCATGCAATTTCCCTTTTCTCTCCCTTTCCCTCCCACCTCATGGCTCTGTTTAATGTTAATCTTTTATTCCTGCTCTTCCTCCCTGCTTTGTTCTTAGTTGCTCTCATTATATCAAAGAAGACATTTGGTATTTGTTTTTTAGGGATTGGCTAGCTTCACTAAGGATAATCTGCTCTAGTGCCATCCATTTCCCTGCAAATTCCATGATTTTGTCATTTTTTAGTGCTGCATAATACTCCATGGTGTATAAATGCCACATTTTTTTTATCCATTCATCTATTGAAGGGCATCTGGGTTGGTTCCACAGTCTAGCAATTGTGAATTGTGCTGCTACGAACATCGATGTAGCAGTATCCCTGTAGTACACTCTTTCAAGGTCTTCAGGGAATGGTCCGAGAAGGGCAATAGCTGGATCAAATGGTGGTTCCATTCCCAGCTTTCCCAGGAATCTCCATACTGCTTTCCAAATTGGCTGCACCAATTTGCAGTCCCACCAGCAATGTACAAGTGTACCCTTTTCCCCACATCCTCGCCAGCACTTGTTGTTGTTTGAATTCATAATGGCTGCCAATCTTACTGGAGTGAGATGGTATCTTAGGGTGGTTTTGATTTGCATTTCTCTGACTGCTAGAGATGGTGAGCATTTTTTCATGTACTTGTTGATTGATTGTATGTCCTCCTCTGAGAAGTGTCTGTTCAGGTCTTTGGCCCATTTGTTGATTGGGTTATTTGTTTTCTTATTGTTTAATTTTTTGAGTTCTTTGTATGCTCTGGATATTAGGGCTTTATCTGAAGTGTGAGGAGTAAAAATTTGTTCCCATGATGTAGGCTCCCTATTTACCTCTCTTATTGTTTCTCTTGCTGAGAAAAAACTTTTCAGTTTAAGTAAGTCCCATTTGTTGATTCTTGTTATTAACTTTTGTGCTACGGGAGTCCTATTAAGGAATTTGGAGCCCAACCCCACAATATGTAGATCGGAGCCAACTTTTTCTTCTATCAGACGCAGAGTCTCTGATTTGATATCAAGCTCCTTGATCCACTTTGAGTTAACTTTTGTGCATGGCGAGAGG